GAGTAGGACTATCTCCAGAGCTTGAGTCTCTAGGGAGTGAACAACCAGATCTGAACATGGCTACATTGCTTAGTACTTCGTTAACTGTGTCTCATTCTACTTGAGACTTTCTCCATGGCCATTACTTTGAGGGGAAAGAGAAAACATTTCTGAAATTATTAAGAGGAAAATCTTGCATAATTATGAGAATCTTTAGTTCCCATTGCCTGTCCTTACCAATTCTAGTACCTTATGTTAGGAATCTTCACAATGTCTGGTTTTCAGACCCTGAAATGTAATGAGCTTATAAATTGTCAGTATTAATTAATTAGAGATAGGAAAATAAGCTGCTGTGCTTTTGAAACATCTTTACCAAAGTTATCATTAAATATTCTTAACTGTGGCATTTAAAATTCTTCCCCCAGAAGCAAAGAATGGAGCAGTGAATACCTAGGTACTAACTTGCACTCATCACATAACTAACATTTGTCATGTTTTTCCCACTTCAGAGTCAGGTGTCCTGAGTCCACTCCTAAATGCAATCTCCTCCATAACCACATCTGAGAAAAGCAACATGAATTTTACACACTTAGGCTCCAACAAAAGTTTATGCTTTTGGCATGCCTGTTTACTCTCTTTCTACAACCCAGTCAATTTTCATGTTTTCTTATAACATTGAGTTTTAAGTATTCTATTTTTTTTGGCTTTTTGGTTTTTTGAGACAGGGTTTCTCTGTAGCTTTAGAGCCTGTTCTGCAACTAGCTCTTGTAGACCAGGCTGGTCTCAAACTCACAGAGTCACAGAGATCCGCCTGCCTCTGCCTCCCAAGTGCTGGGATTAAAGGCATGTGCCACCACCGCCCGGCTTGAGTTTTAAGTATTCTTGATAGTTACTTAACAGAATGTCCTATCATCTGGATTTTTCTGATATCTCATTATGACAAGAGGCAAATAATCATTTTTTTTGTCAAAAAATACTGTAAAAGTATGGTCACACGTTTCTTGCGGTATCCTTTCAGGTGGCACATGTTGTCAAGCTGTTCATTTTTTAGTGATATTCCATTTGATTAGTTATCTAGCATAGAATACTGATCCTAGGTCTCTCTCTAGTTTCAAAGTGCCACTTTTCTTTATGCAGTTAAAAAAATTAATCAGTAGAGTGTTTTCCCACCATATGAATGGCCAGATTCCTAATGGCCAACAGTGAAATCATCCACTAGTGGTTACTCTGAGGACAGTAGCATTAAGACTTTCCTAATTCTCCCATTTCTTCAAGATTCATGTTCCCCGTAAAGAACTTTAGAAAGTTTGGGGATTTATTTTGCTTACTGATGAAGTTAATAGTCTTTTTATTGTCTGAGCATTCAGTTCAAAGGAGTTTAACTTACTGTATGGCATTGGAGTTGTGGCCCTACAGGACCATAACAGGAATCTGGGTGTTAGCACTGACAAAGAGTTAGCAAAAAGAAGGAAAAAGTGATGACAATATGGAACCTTGGCTGAAATTAGGGTTTATTCTAGAATCTACACTTCCATTGTCCACATATTTAAAGCTTTAATTAGTTAAAAATAAGGTGTAAAATGTAGCTCCTCACTCATACTATGAGTGCTCAGTGACCGCATGTGGCCAGCAGGTGCTAATAACGACATTGCAGGTACAGAACACTGCAAAAAGTTCTGTTGTACAGTGCTGACTTAGACTCTCAGGTTCCCCCATAACAAATTGCGAGCATCATGAGCTTGTAGTCAAGATAAGATGGTTCTAATTTCCTAGGTTCACCATAGAATGTTTTGAATATAGTATTTTAGGCTCTGTTTGGAATTCTGGCCTGCCACATGGGTCTAATGCAAATGGATGAGTCTCATTGGTATTTCTGTGCTTTGAGTGACAGTAGATCAATCTTAGTCATTATAAGTAGTTATTTTAAAATAGAATCAACTTAAAGCTTTGCTGGAACTCAGGAGGCAGAGGCAGGAGGATTGACACAAGTTCAAGGTGTGGTATACACAGTAAATTCCAGGTCAGGCAAGGCTAACTACATAGGCTGCCCTGTACCCACAAACCAAAATGATTTTGTTAAACATTATTTTCTTCTTATAGTAAAGATTTGAGGTTAGCTAAATTTCCTCTGGCAGCTCTTATTACATTTAATTTTATTTTCCTCATATGGTCCAGTGTTCCCTGTGGGCCTCATGTTTCATCCGGGCTGATATACAGTAAGGTTGCTTCACCAGAACTGATGCAGAAGCCTTTTAAGAAGCAAACTTCTTTCACAGTCATAAGTGCAGAGAAGAGAGATTCTTAGTGGCAGATCTGAAGTGCCATATTCTTGGTTACCCCATATTCTTTAGCAGCCTATCTGTCGTTCGCCTGAGGATAACATGCCACCTGCTTTTCTGAGAGGCATTGCACCTCTGAGTCTGCATCCAACAGTTTAGTTTCAGTAGATTTGTCTGGAACAAAGTATTTTTGTGCTGCTTCATAAGGTTTAATAGTATATTATTGCCCATTGGCCTTATAAATGCTACCATAGATACCTTATAGAACACCATCTAGGGGATGTTTCTGTATGGAATGTACATTAAAGGGCTCTAAAAACAGGTCAGAGTTGAAGAATAGCTAGGAGTTCCTAATGCGATCTTGCCTCCAGTTACTTCCATATATTAGATTATTTGCATGCCTTTAGGGGCTTAGGTAACTTCTTTGGTCAGCTTTTGAGCCTCTGAAGTAGATGGTTTTCTTGTCAAAATATTGGTCTCTGAGATTTGATGTTCAAACATTACCAGATAAGGTCTAGTTGCAAGATCCCAGATGCCAGAATTCTCTGCCAGGAAATAGCCTCTAACATAGAGCAAAATCTGTGTAATTCAGTGCAAACAGCCCATCTAGTCCCAGGTTCACAGAGAAGAATCTGGTGCCAGGTCCAGTATTAAATTTTATCAAGTGTCCAGAACACTGCCTGGCCCTAAATGCAAATATTACTGTGTATGTGAATTCATCTTGTGGCTAAAACTTTGCCTCCAACAGAAAATGAGGTAGCTGGCTTCCTTTTATTCTGTCCCCCTTCCCAAGGGCACAAGCGTGAGACAGGACAGAATAAAGGTTGGCTTTGAGAGGCTGGGTCTGTCTGTGCTATCACTTACTTAATTACATGCAGTCTCTTTTCTCTAGAAAGATCCCAAGTGTTACAGGTGACGGGGAGGAATAAGAAAAGTTAAGTATGTACTTAGGGCTTCGTATGTCCAGCCCAGTATCTGCTTGCTGGGCTAGGACAGCTTGTACTCGACAACAGAGCATCCCTCTTCAAGCTTAGAATGGCCTAATCTGCTGAAGACTTGATGTTCTATTACATTTTATGATGCTGTCCATATTTTTGAGATACTGGGAGGTTGAAAGGAGTACAGGATTTTCTTGGTGTCTATTTTTTCTCTCATGATCCATGTTATCTATGTTATTTGTGTCACACTTCTCTGTCTCAGAATTGTAAGTTATGATATAAATAGTTAACAGATGCATGCAACAATAGGTAGCATATGGCAAAGCTAAGACAACCGTCCTAGTGTTTCTCAGGAATTAATTGTAAGTGGATTTTTGCCACTTGGTCTTTTTTTCTTTTATTTTCAGTTCTTTTCAAATGTGCATGTTTTCTCAGATGTGTGAGTTCTCTGTTCATCTTTGATAAAGAGAGTGTGGGGACACAAAGACAAAAGCATACCAGGACTCCAGTTAATAATACTGATCAAGAAAGCATTGCGATACTTATTAGGACAGGACAGCCTTTAGTGAGGATCACTGTAACTGACATAGAGTTCTACTGTGATGGGGTTTTGCAGTGTGAGAGAGTGATAGGAATTGATGGATGAAATTTGTCAAGAGGAAATATCAGGGATAAGTGGGTATTCTTGCTAAAGGCTGGCTGTGGAGATCAGATACCACTTGAGAGATGGCAGGAGCATAAGGTATTGAGAGGGCCAGATAACAAAGGTGGGAGTTCTAGCTAAACCAGCTTAAGGAGATTTTTGATAAAACTTGGTGATGCAAAGGGAAGAAGCCCAAAAGTTAGGTCCTAATTGGGAAGGTGATTCAAAAAAAAAAAAAAAACCAAACAAAAACAAAAACAAAAAAAAAAAACAAACCTAACTCAAATTTGGAAGAAGGAGAGATTCTATCATTGTGCATACTAAAAATGTCAGGGAAGGGAGGCTTAGCAGATGGCTGTCAGTGAAGTGTTTGCTGTGCAAGTATAAGGATCTGAGTTTACTCTCCAGAACCTATGTCAAGAGCTCGATACAGTGGTGCATGTTTCTAACCCCGGCACTGGGAAGATAGGCTTTGCTGAGCAGCCAGCATAACCTAATTTGTGATTCCTAGGCCAAATGAGAGTACCAATCTTGAAAAACAATGTGGCTGGCTTCTAAACACCTAAGTTTGACTTCTGGCCTACCACACATACACAGATGTTTGCACATGTAAACACATGTACAAACACACAAGAGAGTTAGAAGAAATATATTGATATCACTGCTGTATCTGTATCAGAAAATAAGATGTGGGATGGAGAAATGGGAAGATGGTAATAAAGAACCTATAATAAATGGTAATGTAGAATCTTGGTGGTTCTGCAGGTATTTCCTACAAATTCCTCCCATGCTTCTTTGTATATCTGCCTAATTTCATAGTAAAATATTGTGGGCATCAAAACAGTTCAGGGAAGAAGTGAGGAAGCAGCCAAGCAGAAGGGACCTAGGATTTAGTAGTGAGGACTGCTTGGTACAGGAAGGCAGGTGGAAAACTGCCAGTTTATTTCCTAGAGACCTTGGTAAGGGCATGTGTACTTATAATATCTCACTCTTTGGGATCTGCTTCCATGTGGACCTGACTTCTGCATGATGGCCTTTCTCTCCTTGAAGCTAACCACTCCTGCTTTGGGAAGATAGTCGCTGACTAAGCTAGCAAGGCTGCCATGGCCTAAGCTAATGCTTTCTGTTTTTCTCTTTGTCTTTTTCCCTGGTGACTTTTAGAGTTGGTGTTGACCCAGATCAAGACCCACCACCTAACAACGACAGCTTTCAAGTCTTACAAGGGGTAAGTCACAAGTGTCTGTCTTCTGAGTAATATATGATTTGAAAATTACTAAAACCGAGCATTTGCTCTCCATGCTGTGCATTGTCGTCTTGACAACAATCTCTTAGGTTGCTGCCATAAATTCTGGTTTATAGGTTAGATGCTGAAAATTGAGTCTTAAGTGAGTTACCTAGGGCCCAATAATGAGAAAGTGGTGCATTTTGTAAGTAAAAAAGGCCAGGAACAGCTAACTACCAAGATGAGGAGATTCCATCTAGATAGTTATATACCTGTCAAAACAGTGCCATTCTCTGTTTCACATTGCCTCCCCTCTACACTCAAACACCTGCAAAAAGAATTAAATGAGGTGACTGGGTTGGTGTCATGCAGCATTGCTTACTGTATGTCTTTAAGACCTGCAGGCTGAAATATTAACAAGAGGTACAAGTCAACTTTGCTGGCAGTGTGGCCCCAGGAGTCCCCATCAAATCTTGGGACATCTACTCAGGTGCATCCAGATGTTTGACATCTACCAAAGAAAAGAACTTGAGACTGAGTCCAACCAAGTTAGCAGGTTTTGTCGATTGAGCAGAAGACAAAATGGGTGAATGGTAGGAGATAAATACGGTCAAGGGACTCAGGAATAGCTACATGGCACTTGGTGGTTTTGAAACTGCTTCATCTGCAAATGAGCTTAGCTAATGGGGACAATATATAGTTGGATATTTAGTTATATTTTCCACAGAATTCTGACCTTGAAGTAGAAACTTCTTTGTAAATGTCATTGGCTTGCAGGTGGAGAAAGAGTAGAGAGAAAATAATCATCAAGGAATCCTTATACAGATAGGTCACAAAGGGATTAGACTTAGGTACATGTAATAAGTAATAAGGCACAATTTTTAACAGTTCCATGTGTGAGAAACTGTATTCATTAAATCACTACTTGGCCCATTAGCACTAGTTTCTTATTGGCTAATTCTTACATCTTAATTTAACCCATTTCTATTAATCTGTGTATTGCCGTGTGATTGTGGCTTTCCGGCAAGATTCTAACCAGGATCCGTTTCAGGCAGACGATCCATGGCGTCTCTCACTCTGCCCTTCTTCCTCCCAGCATTCAGTTCTGTTTTCCCTGCTTAGAATGGGAAAAGTGATCAGACTTCCAATGTGGTTTCCCAAGTTCCTTGCTACGACTCAATCCCCACACAGAAAGGGCTTCCAATACATATTCCTTAGCTTTCTTGAAGCATACCCTGGAACATTTAATAACCTTGAATAACCAGAGCAATCAGGGGCCTCTCATTTGTAGATGAAACCCTAGGTTCTTATTGTTTTTCCTGATGCACTTTCCATGCTAGGTGATGTCATGAAACTTGAATTAGAGGTGGGGGAAATCCAGATATTTGTCCTCTTCTAGAAAGGGTAGTTCTCTTTTCTTTTCTCTTCTCCTCTCCTCTCCTCTCCTCTCCTCTCCTCTCCTCTCCTCTCCTCTCCTCTCCTCTCCTCTCCT